TCTCTAGCCCTATTTGTCTTTGAAAAACGATTAGAATTGTTCACAACCCTAACTATGACTTCGATTTGATTCTACCCCACCTCGTTTCTTCATGAATGGTGTTGGTATTCTGTTGCACCGATCCACGATTGTTATTGCCTAATAGGGCTTCCTTGAACGATCTTGTATCTCTTAACGACGATATCCTTTTTCGCATCTTATTGCTTGATTCTTTCTCCTTCTGGCCATTAGGATCAATCTTTTTGGAAATGAAAACCCTAATAGCAAAGCCATCCATCAATCTATCGTTTCCCCTATTTACTGCTTCATTAGCCTCCGACTCATTCCTAAATCTCACAAAGGCAAAGGTCGTCTTTGCCGACTTCCTCTTCATGTTCCTATGAGCAATGAAAGAATCCAAAATTATGCCATATGCTTGAAAAAGCTTTCTTCAGTGTGAAATGGTGAATTCTTTTACTTACGTTATCAACGAACACAGTAAATCTCTGACGATTCCGATGACCCTTTTTCGAAGAGACACGTTTTGCTCCAATTTTTCCAAAATTTTGTCTTAACGCATGTAAAATAGCATTGTATTGTTACGTAGGACAAAGGTTCATCTGATCAATTGCATCTTTTAAAAAATGTGATTAACAATAGGACGAATGTGCTTCTAGTTAATGTACATCTATCCATTGTTATACGAATAATTGCTATTTCATAAAATAACTGAAGATATTAGTGTAAAAAATAATAATTAATTTTTAAAAATAATATATTCAGATAAATAAATAAAAGAATAACTAAAAATCCTTTTTATAACTTTTATTGAAATTAACTATTCTGTAAGTCAATTTCAAATTAAATACTTTTTATTGATTAATCCAAAATGATTATAAATTAATATTTATTTAAAATATTTTTTAATTATTGATAGTATATATACATCCTACAAACCTAATAATTTATATTTGGGTTCTTTTAGAAGAAAAAAAAACTATATCCGTTTTCGCCACGAAAATCAGTGGATGAATTCAATATACTTTTTTTATAATTCGACAATTTATGAAATCTTTGATAATATTTTATGTAGTTCTGTAAGGGTAACTTAATTTATTCCACGGTTATCTACAAGCCATGTAATTGAGGCATATCATATCTCACACTTTCTGTCTCTTCATCCAACATATCATTAAAGCCTGCATGACTTCAATAATTGCAAATATCCCTAAAGCATGACATATCCCACATACTCTTCATCCCCATTTTAATTACTTAAAGTTGCCCATTTGTATGAGTAGACCAAACCAATTATTTTTTTTAGGGTTTAAGTTTGACCGCTAGAAATATTAGGATTTTGAACGTTTAATATTAAATAATTAAAAATTATTTCTAAACAAATATTACTTTATACTTACTCTAGATTAATCAAAAAAAAAATCTCCCACCAACTTCACAGTTTGAATCCTCACTATGTGTTACGCTCATTTTAGGGTTTATTGGACACACAATTATGTTCCTTTTCCCCTTCAAATAAAGAATAAAATATGACACAAATCAAATAATTTCGGTAATAAAGATATTATTGTTATTTTTTTTTTGAAGTTTTAAATTCGAACACTAGAAATATCAAGATATAAACATTCAATGTCAAATGATTGAGAGTTATCCTTAGACAGATAATGTTTTCTACTTACCTTAAATTAATCAAAAATATGTTTAACAAAAAATGGTTATACCTATATATATTAACATTTAAATAATATGGATTATAACTATATGAAGTTCAATTAAATATATAATAAATATGAGATTTATATTTGTCCCATATGTATATTAAGATGGATTAAGAAAGACGGAAGGAAATTACTATCTTCTAAAAAAATTAAATTATTATATATTTAAAAAATAATTGTTTGTCATATATTTTAAAATTTTTATTTATATTTTCTATTGATAATTTATTTTTATTCCTAGAATTTTATAATTTTGTCACCCCTTAATATTTTAAAAGTCAATATCTTTAACATAAAATTATATCTTCGTCTCTATTTATACAATATTAGTACATCATATTAAAAACATTTCATCAATAAATTCATAAAAAATTAAAAATAGAATATTAGATGTTATTTATGTGAATAGTGTGAAATAATTATAAGATGTTACATGTTCAAAATCTTTCTTAACCATTAACAACACACATCCTACAGAAGCAACTATGGATGAAATGTTAAATTAACTGTTATTTTTTTAAAAATCTTAATGTCTTTGTAATTACTTAGTTGGGCATGAAAATATACATACATATCAATGTATTGAATATAAACAATTACTTATTAGTATTTATACAAATATATTACTAGTACTAACTTTGTTTGAAATAGTAAGAGATTAAGGGTGAATTTATAAAATTTTATAGGAGAGGGGACTTATAATATTTTAAGAGAACTTAAATAGATTATTAATAAATATTATAAAATATATAAAATATAGAAGAATTTAAAAGTTTTAGGGATGATTGTTTTCATTGGTTCCTTCAATTCATCCCTAGTTGTTAGTTGTTACATCATTTTTAAAAATTCATATTAAACTATAATTTTTTTTAAAGTTCTTAATTAAATCCCCTCCCATAATTTAAAAAAATCTCATTAAGTCTCAAGTTTTTAAAACTTTAGTTAAACCCTAATTTTTGAAAAAATGTAAAATAAACTCTTCAGAAATTTTAAAAATTTTAATTTAAACTTCTAAACCTTTTAAAGTTTTAAGTTTACTCCTAAATTATATCATTAAGTCCGCCATTGTATTTTAGCCACCTAGGAAAGGTGCATTGTTTTGATTGGTGAGTCAACAACGTTCCCAGGCTTCCACCCCCATTCGCATGGGGCTCACACAATTTCATTTCATCTTGTCATCATTGTTGAATTCACTGCACTGCAAATCATGGACTATCATTTGAAAACAAACCGTCCTAATGTTACATAATTATGTTTAGTTAATCAACACAATTCAATCATTATTTATCACATATCATCAATTCGTAATCAACATTATATTAATAATCACGAATTAAACGATTTAATTGATTAAGAGGTTATTGTCATTTTTAAAAATTTTGAGTTCAAGCACAACGTCTGTAGGAACGTATGAGTTTTTATCGTTAAATCCTTGAAAGTCTTTCGAACAAATATTACATTGTATTCTTCCCGACCTAGGTTAATAAAAAAACATTATATTAATAAATTGGCATAATGACACAATTGCCCCCCAACATTTGCACAAATGGTCACTTTGACCTTATTCTTTTTTTTTAGATCATTTTAGCTCTCAATGTTTCAATTTTTTGGTCAAAAAAGACCTTGTTGGATGAAAACCGTTAGTTGACTACGATCAATGCATGTTATTGACATGATATTTTCACATGTGATCAATTGATGATGTGGCATGTGTCATGTCACCCAAAATGATGACATGATACATGCAATGTCCACAATTAATCACATGTTAAAATTCTACATCAGCAACATGTGTTGAAAGTTAGTCAACCCATGGTTTCCATCCAACTTGGTATGTTTTTGAAAAAAATAAAATGTTGGGGTAAAATGATCTAAAGAAAATAGAGGGCAAAGTTAATATTTATACAAACATTGGGAAGTAATTGTGTCATTATGTATGATAAATTTTAGTCAAAAGAGAAAGGTTTAGCAAACGGGACCTAGTAAATGTGTCCAAAGTGTTAAGATGATCCAAGCCGTTGGATGAAAAATCATTCTTCTCATGTTGGGATGGTAATAATGACGATGTTCTAGCCCTAATTGTTTGGTGGGAACACAATGAAAAATCATTCTTGTCATGTTGGGGTGGTAATAATGACAATTTTCTAGCCCAAATTGTTTGGTGGGAACACAATAAATACAAAACATCGTGAAATTATAGCCGCGTTCATTAGCAAATTCTTCCCATCAAAGTATTTAATGATGGTAGATACACTCTTAATTTAAAACATCAAGATTTGCTTAAACCTAAAACACAAGATTTTCTTAAAGATCCGTTTGAACAATAATATAAACAAAGATTTGCTTTATGCTTCTTCCCTTTGCTTTATTTTCCACACGCATATGTATGGGTAAACTACTCAGATGACGACTTAAGTATAGGATTGGTATCGATAAGATCACCATATTTTAAAATTTGACAATATGATCACATAACTATTTAAATGATTTCAATGTAATCATCTGTCATTACAAAACAAACGACGTAGTTGATTTGATTTTTACTAACTAAGAACGAGTCTGAGGTCTGCATTAACTAGATCGTTTGTTTTGTACCAACAAGTGGATACATTGAAATCACTTAAATAGTTATGTATCTATATTGTTAAAAACTAAAAGTACGGTCATCATATCAACAATGACCCCATAAGTAAGTGGTCATTTGAGTAGTTTAACATATGTAATAAAGGGTAAAATACACAAAAGGTCCCTCAACTATAGGATACTACTTTAGTAAGTCTCTCAATTATTAAAAGTTACAAAATAGTCATTCGACTATAAAATGTTATTTTTTTTATTCCCTCGACTATTAAAAGTTACAAAATGGTCACCTAACTATTCATTATGTTCAAAACTTAATTTTCTATTAAAAATTGACGATATTTTAAGTTTAATGTTAACTTGTTAACTGTGATATGATAAAATATTATCCCAAAATCTTAAATGACTATCATATTTAAATCATCATATTAATGTCCAGCTTAGACAACCACTAATTTTTTAACAAAAAGGATGAGTTCGAAACATAATGAATAATCGAGTGACTATTTTGTAACATTTAATAGTCGATGAATATAATGAATTAGTACCCTATAATCAAAGAACTATTCATGTACTTTACCCTATAATCAAGGAACTATTCATGTACTCTACCCTATAATAAAAGACCCCCGCTGCATTTATTGGTTTGAAAAACTCTCTTTCTCCTCCTTTCTGTGTGTATCGTCTCGTGTATATTTATATAGATTCACGCGTGTTTCCATTAAAGAAGATCGGATAGGGTTTTACTTTCCTCTTCAAATCAAACCCTTCTTCTCTGATGGAGTTAGCTTTGAGCTTGGGCGATCCCCCAAAGCCATTCTCGTTTATCGGCGAAACCCAGAAATTATCGAGCAACGATCTAGGGTTTTGCATGGGGCTCCTCCGTCAAGGGGATGCCGTATACGGAGGAGATGAGAAAAGGGTTTCTTCAGATCCGCCTCTTCAGCTCGATCTTCTACCTTTCTCTCCGGTTCCTCGTCCCCAGCTCTGCCCGGAAAGAGGGTGGTTGGCGGCGGCGGAGGAACCCAACAGCGCGGTGTCTTCATTTCAGATGGCTTTTGGGATGAGCAGGAGAGGCAAGAGAGAGGTGGAACTGGAAATGATCGAAACTGATCAAAGAGTAAACACTAGAGGCAGTGATGATGACGAGAACGGTTCAACTCACAAGAAACTCAGGCTTTCCCAAAAACAATCTGCTTTTCTTGAGGAAAGCTTCAAAGAGCACAACACACTCAATACTGTAAGCCAAAACATATATGAATCCTACCTTATTTCTTTGTTGGGTAAATTATGAAACTATGTCCATTATAGTATAAATTTTTAACTTTTCAAAATAATACCTAAAATTTAATTTAATTTTTATTTTATTGTTTTAGTTTTATTTTATTTTATTTTAGTATCAGTTCTAAATTTAACATTAAATTTTGAATTTTTTTAAAAATTTAGTACTGATAGTTTAAATAATAAAAGAGTTAATTTTTTAACGATAAGTAACTAAAATAAAATGAAAACTAAGAGTTATGTATAATTTTTTTAAAAAAATACTAAAATAAATTAAAATTAATAATTTATATATTAAATAAGTCGTTTGCCCTTCTTTATTTAACCACAAGTACCTACTGAATTTTGGTTTAACATTTGTATTTCCTTTTTAAAACTTTGATTCAGAAGCAAAAACTTGCACTGGCAAAGCAATTAAATCTTCGTCCCCGCCAAATTGAAGTTTGGTTTCAGAACAGAAGAGCAAGGTACTTTTCCTTTTAATTAAAATAAATATTTTCTTCATATAACTATTTAGGCAATCTACGTATTTAGTATCTAAATGATCAGTTTTTATCAGTTTAGTTTTTATTTTATTTTAGTATCCGATTTTAAAAACTTAACACGTTTAGTACTTAAATTATCGTTTTTGATCCGTTTTAATACTTAAACTTTTAATTTTTTCAAAACTTAATGTTAAATTTTGAATGTGGTACTAAAATGAAACAAAAACTAAACTTTATGTATAATTTTAAAAAAATTGAAAGTTTAGGTACTCCAAATTAGATAGTTTAAATATTAAATGCATAATTTACCCTAACTTTTTAATTAAAAAATATATAATGTTAAAATTAACCCCCAATATTTATCAAAATAGTTATTTTAGTTTCTATTTCTTTCGAACATTTTGACTTTAAACATTTTATTTCGAGGTAAAAAAGTCATGAATGATTAATGGTCTAAAATATGAGTCTTTTATCCTAGAATGAAATATTGAGACTATAATACTCCAAATAAAATGCCAAGGTGATTATTAAATCAAAATTTTGGGCCTTTTTATCTTAAAAATTAAACATTGAGGGCCAGAATTCTAAAAAAATAAGATTCAAAAGGATCCTTTTGATAGACACTGTGGACTAAATTTGATATTTTGCCTTAAAAAATATACAGGACGAAATTGAAACAAACAGAGGTAGATTGTGAGTATCTAAAGCGATGTTGCGAGACATTAGCAGAAGAAAATAAAAGATTACAAAAGGAATTGCAGGAATTAAGAGCCTTGAAATCTTGTCAACCGTTTTACACGCAGTTACCGGCCACCACTCTCACCATGTGTCCTTCATGTGAGCGTGTCACCACCGCCACCGCCTCTGGTAGCAGCAATACCACCGACGTCAAAACCGGAGAATACCCGTTTCTCTCCCCTACAAACGCATGAAAATCATTGGTTGTGACCAGCTTTTTTCTAATTCAAATTTTGTAAATATTTTAAAGGTTGGTGGATTTTTATTTCTTTTCTACTTGGATTTTTTTTAAATTGTGTGAATGATGATTTGAAGGCACGAGATTTGAGTTTTTGATAGATTTTGTGTTGACTGGGGAGAAGATGAAGAAATTTTTGGTAGAATGGTGGCCGTTTTGTTTGACGAGGAAGGGAATTAATTAATTATAGCGACTTCCTCATTGTAATCTATAATACTTTGTGTATTGAAATTGAATCTATATAATTTTTGAAGAAATTGTTTTATATATCGTGTGTGATTATATTTAGGGTAAAGTATAAAAATAACCTCCAACTATAGGTTGTTGTTTTATTAAGTCTTTCAACTATTAAAAATTATAAAATAGTCCCTTGACTATATGATGTCACTTTGTTGAGTCTCTCGACTATTAAAAGTTACGAAATGATCATTTTGACTATTTATCGTGTTTCAAACTCGATTTTTTTTTGTTAAAAAATTAATGGTAATTTGAGGTGAATGAAGACTAGTGTGATTAGAAAAATTTTAAACGCAAATATCCATACATCATTCATTTGTTTGTGTGAATTAGTTGAAACACGTGTATAAATTTAAGTAGAGGTGGGTATACGGGCTATCCGCCCGTTTAGCCCGCGGATTTTGACGGTGCGGGCTTAAACGGAACGGGCTAAAAAGTCCACATTCATAAACGGTTTTGAATTTTAAGGCCTGCGACCCGTCTATTTAACCCGTGGGCTAAACGGGCTTACCTGCGGCCCGTTTAATAAAAATAATTTTAAATGCAATAAAAAATAATGTTTTAACTTACTACACCTTTAAAAATGATCGAGCAACTTGAAAAGAAAGGTAACACCGTCAAAATAATAAATAATATTTAAATTTTATTTTAAATAGCCAAAAATGATTATAAAATAATATTTTTTTAATATTTTAATCATTAATATATATATATATAATGATATAATTACTTAAACTTAAATTAAAAAAAAACAATATTCACTTATATCACCAAATTTAAAAACAAATAAAACAATAACCACATTATACTTTTATAAAACACGATTATTCAAGGCTATAATATGAAACACAGAAGTATCTGAAAGCAGAAATTCAAACATAAAAATTCAACAAAGTCAAACATTATACAAATCTAACAAGGAAGTTGTCAAGTGTTCCTAATAATTGTATTTTATGGATACTTTAGAGAAATACTAAAACATAACATGAAAATATAAAATAAAATACTTACAGTATAAGAGTAAATTTGAAAGATACAATTATACTAAAATTGATAAAATATAAGTAATTAATTTGTTAAAATATATTTATTTTGTAAAAGTCTTTAAAAGTTGAAAAGTATGTTTTTTAATTTTTTCTTTTTACTTTTCTTTCTTATTTTTAATCCAAATATTACGTGTCATGTGATATATTATTAGAATATCACGTGACTTTTTATAATTAAATAACAAAATGGATAACATACTTCACGAAAAAAATAAAGATCAAAATTAAATAAAAAAATCTTTAAATACCAAAATGATAATGATGGATATTTAAATGAAAAAAATATCAAACAATGGTAAAATTATGACAAACGCCCTAATAAATTTAAGAACTACAATAGTAATAAGTAACATCATATTTATAGGTAATTTATTTTCTTTTTCTATAAAATTCTTTAAGTTTATTTTCTCTCAAATTTTATAAATTTTAAATTAAACGGGCTTTAGCGGGTTTAACGGGTAGCCCGCGATTATACCCATTAAACCCGCGGGTTTAACAATCCGAGCTAAAAAACCCGCAATTTAAATGATCTTTAATTTTTGAGGCCCGAAACCCGTACAGATCGCGTGTTAAACAGGTAGCCCGCGAGCCTTAACCCATATACCCAGCTCTAAATTTAAGACCATATTCAAGGTATATAATCATGATTTCTTTCCGATAACTAATGAATAACAAGCATCATTATACCAGATTTTGCACTACGTCACAAAGATATGATGTCACATAAGACTCTTTGAGCTTCGTTCTAACAAGGATTAATCATAAAATAAGTGTCAAAATTATAGTGTTTTTATAAGTAGGTGTTCAAATATTTTTTTTTTCTAAATGAATGATCCAGGCGCTTAATGCGACAAACATCATCATTTTAGGTGTTATGGTTGTAAACACCATTAATTTTCTCCGTTAAGAGACACATGTTACACTTTACACCACCTTTAATCGTCGACGAAGCTCTACCTGACCTCACCTCTCCCGACGATCAATAGCCCTATGAAATTATGACCAACCGATGACCAATCGACGTTTTGTACCCTACGAACACTGGGCTGAAAATCGCGACCCATACGATCCAAACGACCAATTGACGTTTTGTACCCTACGAACACTGGGTTGAAAATCGCGACCCCATACGATCCAAACGACCAATTGACGATAACTATAACAATGTATGACTAGGAAGATGAAATGGGACTACGTCTGCGACGGTATCGTGGCCGGAAAGGGTGACGGTGACGTTGGTCGTGGCCAGTAAGAGTGTTAGGATTTTTAGGGATTTATTCTGTAATTTAAGAAAAATAGTTTTTTATAAATATATATTTTTTAAAAAAAAAATCAAATTTACTAGAATATGACACATATCACTTAACAAAGAAAATTAACTTTTGTTACGGTCCGATCACCTAAAGTGATAACGTTTGTAACGTTAGACACATGAATCGTTCAAGATAAAAAATTTAGAGCCTATTTATAAAAACACTATAATTTGAGCACTTATTTTATAATTAAGCCTTCTAACAATAAAGATGAATGGGTGCTATTTTATTTTAAAAAAGAGAGAACAAAATGGTATTGTTTTAATAATTTTTCCTTTATTCCCCTTACCATTAGGATAAGCTTTTGTTTTTCGTTCCAATCTATCAAGCAAAGAATTCTGGTTGGAATGATAGAAAATGGAAGAAGAAAATGTTGAGGAGGAATTGCAGGGTAGATTCTACTCTTAACTCTCCATTATTAATTCTAAACTTGATGTAGGATGTCTTATCCAAATTTATTTTTTATTAGTACTAAATTATTACAAAGTGATATCAGTTCAAATGATCTTTAACCTTTTGGCAATGAGTACTCAAATATCCTACAAACCACATACTTGAACTCGAAAATCTCTAATAATAACAACGATCTCTTTAATTACTGAAATAATTTGGTTAATACTATTTAAACTTATTTCTAAATATATACTATTAATTGATGAAAACATGGAACAAACAAAGCAAAGTTTCACAATGACAACAAAAGGAGTCATTTTGTACCACTAAAGAACCTTTGCCATACTGGGTTTGCATAGAACCAGGAATCACAAAAAATTTAGAAATCTCCATGAGCATATCAATTTGTAAGGAACGGTTCAATTGTTAATGAAGAACAATAAAAAAAATGTTAACTCCGGCCTAAGAATCAACCATTGGAATGATTACCACAAGGATTTCTAGAACCAAGTATGCAGTAGAGAGGGCCTTGAGGCTCATGTACCTTGTAGCAATAAACAACATCTTAGGGTGTGTTTGGTTCACAGAATGTAAGATTATCAGTGGGAATAAAAGATTACTAGGGAATAGGATTACTGGAAATGTTGTATTTTGTGTTTGGTTGATTTAGCAGGAATGTAAGATTACCGTGTTTGGTTAAAGGAATAAAAGATTATTAGAATGTATATTTGATCAAATTGTCCTTATTATATATTTGTATAATATTACAAGTTGTAAAATATTTATATATTTTCTTTAAAAAAATAAATTCATAATATTTATATAATTTTTTTTATAAAATTAAAAATATAAAAAAAGGTTTAATGAAAGGATAAAATTTTATTTTAACCCCTGAACTTCATATAAAATTTTAATTATAGACTTTTTTAAGAAATCTAAAATAATTTAAGGATAAATTTATAATTTAACCTTCGTAGAATTTTTATTATTCAATGACAAAAGAATGATATTTTTGAAAAAAAAAATAAAAATTTAAGGGCATTTTAGTCCAAAAATCCGGTAATGTTACAATACATAAGGAAATGGAGGTAATGACATTCCCGGTAATATACCCCAAAAATCTACTATTGGTAATAAAACATTACCAGAAATGACATTCCCGGCAAAACCAAACGGGGGAATGTGGATTCCATTCCCGGGGAATCCCACATTCCCCCATCCAAACTCCCCCTTAGGTGGCGTTTGGTTGGATGGAATCCATTGGAATTGGTGGGAATTAGAATCCAATTCTACCACTTTCTCATGTTTGGTTCAAGTTTTTCAAGGGAATTGGAATCCCCGATGGAATTCAATTCCATCAAATGAGGGAAAGTGAATTCCATCAAAAAATGGATGGAATTCAATTCCCTTGTCGGAGAGAATTGAAATTTGACCATACTACCCTCATCAATCCTTTGGTAACTTATTCATATATTGAATAAAAATATTTTTTTATTTTTTCGGGTTGGGTCGGGTCGGGTGAAAATTTATTTTGGTCGGGTCGGATCAGGTTTTTTTAAGTGTGATATTCGGGTCGGGTTCGGGTTTAGGGTGAAAAAAATCAGACCGACCTGAAAATATATATAATTCAGGTCGGGTCGGATTAAGTCACTGCTTTTATTAAATAAAAATATTTTTTTATTATTTCGAGTCGGGTCGGGTTGGATTTCTAATTCATATATTCGGGTCGGGTCGGATGAAACTTTATTTTGTTCGGGTCGGGTTGGGTTTTTTAAGTGTGATATTCGGGTCGAGTCGGGTCGGGTCGAGTTGGGTTCGGGTTTAGGGTAAAAAACGGGACCGACTCGAAAATATATATAATTCGGGTCGGGTCGGATTAAGTCACTGTTTTTATTAAATAAAAATATTTTTTTATTATTTCGGGTCGGGCATGTCAGATTTCTAATTCATATATTTGGTTCGGGTCAGATGAAACTTTATTTTGTTCGGGTCGGGTCGGGTTTTTTAAGTGTGATATTCGGGTCGAGTCGGGTCGGTTTTTTAAGTGTGATATTCGAGTCAGGTCGGGTCGGGTTCGGGTTTAGGGTGAAAAAAACCAAACCAACCCGAAAAAAATATATAATTTTACCTTATATATTTAGGAATAATTACAATAATACCCCTCTATATATAATTTTTTCAATTAAGTCAATTTTTTTGTTGAATAAAAATAATTTTTTTATTATTTTGAGTCGTGTCGGGTCGAGTTTCTAATTCATATATTAAATAAAAATAGTTTTTCGTATATTTTTTGGTAACTAATTAACATACTCCGATTGGAATGTATAGAAATATTGCTCTATCTTTTGGTAACTATTAACATATATTTTAATTGCGATGATTTTAACTTATAATGTTTATTAGCATGATTTTTATAATTTATTGAAATGAATAATCAATCAATAAAATAAAAATTTAATATTTTTTAATTTTTTATAATATATTACTACAGGTAAGTTGTAAAATAAACTAAAATAAAGTAAAAAAATAAAAAGGGCAATTTTATCATTTTACATTACTGAAATCAAATTCATCTTACATGTCTGCGAACCAAACAGAATATGGAATTGGATTCTAATTCCATTTCCTGCCAACCAAACAAAATATGGAATTAGATTCTAATTCCTTCCTTCACAGATTTCAATTCCTTCATAAATATTCTAGTGAACCAAACGCTACCTTAGGATATGTTTGTTCGGAGGAAAATGTTATACAGGAGACATTTTCATAATTTTTCGTGTTTGGTTCAAGGAAAATTAATTGGTCAAAGAAAAATGTTTTACAATCAACTTAAAATGAGACCAAGAAAAATGTTTTACAATCAACTTAAAATGATCCCTTCTTTCTTGGAAAACAACTTACCGACTAATAAAGGATAAGTCATTTTACAGCACAAGCTCTCCTAAAATCGCCAGATAATCTTCTCCTCACCGGCGATAAGTACTCAGATGACCATTCATCTTCTCAGGTAACTAAAATATTGTTACGTCTTTCGTAATTTTAGATTTAAACTTCTCCAATCGATTTTTTTTATATCCTTAAGCTCCTCGTAATAGGCCTGTAAATGAACTGAACGTTTAGTGAACCATTCATGAACGTGCGGCGGGAAGTTGATTTATGTTCGTTTATTTATTAAATGAACGAACATGAAGAAGATTTTTGCGTTCGTTTAATTAAATGAACGAACACGAACAAAGGGCTCGTTCGTTCATTTACGTTCATGAACGCTCGATTATATGTTCGTTCATTTATGTTCTTTCATTTATGTTCGAACATAGGGCAAGTTGAATATGTTACGAAGATTATTGAAGTTGTTTGGATTTCAAGAAGATTGTTTTGTTGAACAAATTAACTTTAAGACTTTATTATATTCATATAGTTTATTTATGATTTATGTATATTTTTTTCGTATTCGAACAAATTAACTCTAAAGTTGCAAGTTATATTAAAGAATTTTAAGTTGTTATTCTTGTTGTTTACTTTTTTTACATTCATTTGTTATATTCGAATAAGTTTGTTTTTTGTGTTTGTGTTGTTCGTTTATTGTATTCGTTTATGTTCATTTATTATATTCGTTTATGTTCCTTCGTTTGTGTTCGTTTACGTTCGTTTATGTCCGTTTATCATTTAAATGAACGAACATGAACAAACTATATTCCTTAATGAACGATCAAGAACAAATTTTTTTTGTTCGTTTATGTTTGTGTTCGTTTATTTATTAAATGAACGAAAATGAACATACTTCCATATTTGTGTGCGTTCTGTTCGTTTACAGGCCTACCTCGTATGATAGTCGATGGTTCACTTCGACTGCTTCCGGTTGGCTAGCCAGTAGCCACTTGATCCTAACGAAGGAAAATATTATTTTGGATGGGTCGTTCCATAATTCTAGAATTTGTTTTGTTATCCATATGCAATTTGTATTTGTTTTATACTTGTACAGCTTTCCTTTGAATCTTTGTTCAGAGCTATTGTTTGCTTACGTTTTTAATAGGATACCCAATAATTTTAACTCAATTTTTTTCCTTTTATATGGATGCAGTCTGCGAACATGGCACTTCAATCTTCCTCGAAATATAACAATAATCATAATTAAATTGGCAAAAGCAGTTTCAAAAGTTACGAGTTTCTTTTGTTCTTGCTAATATTACATTTATGATCTAGATCTTTGAAACTCTTAAATTTCATCTTCCCAAAGTGAAGCCTGCTGTTATATTGGAGGAATCCATTAAAATTAAGTAAAAAAGTCACAGTTGTATATTGGTGAAAAATTCATCTCTGTACTATTTGTTGGTCTCTAAAGAACATAATTGATTGATGTTAACAAACTATTGGATAATTTAATTTGATTTAAGATATACATTGTTGCAGGGGAATCTTTCTCTATTTTACCTACTGTGAATGTTTATGATCTCTGTTCTTTAGAGTTGGCGTCGGATTTTGAGTGAATGTTGGATCGAAACGTGCTATATACAGAAGAGAGTTTGAGAATGTATTGTTAGATTGAAAATACTTACGACACTTTTTATGGTAGTATGTAGCATATTGGCTAATATCATTTTTCCTCTTAGTGGTGATGTGTTTTGGTGTTCTGCAGTATATATCAGTGGAAATTCATGATGAATTCAGTTTAATCAAAGGGAATGGGCCTGTTCCTAGAGTATCAACACTTACACAACCAAAACAAAACCCCCATTAAGGGGATCCTTATTACTCACCTACTAACCCAATGACTATACACTCCATATGACATGGCCAAAAATGCTTCCTCACATGAAGGAAGCATATGATTTTATGTTGAAAAAAGAACTTGAACTTTTAAAATTCTAAGGGGACAAACTTGAACTTATAAAATTCAAGGGTCAAAAACAAATTTTCAAAAAAAAATATACATAAAAAATCTAAAATATATATAGTAATTTTAAAATTCAAAGGGGACAATTGCCCCACCCACCTCCCCTTGCTTCCTCGTGTCCTTTCAAGGGCCAACACTGTTGGCACAAAATCAAAAGTGTCTCACATTGAACAATACACATTCCAAAGTGAACTATAAATTTGTTTAATACCACAAAAAATGCCATATCAACATGCTAGATTAGATTATCATGCACACTTCAACAACAAAAACAAGATCATGCTTCCACTTAAATTCTCAAATTAATCAACCTTTGAGAATAACAAATTACAGAACCGATAGACAAGTTAACCACGGTCCAAGTACCAGATATTATGTAAGCCAATTGAAATCCTTCCGCAGCAATGGATGATCCAAAATATAAATAACCGGAATATTATTAGCTTGAAACCAAATCGCATTCAGTACTAGGAACAAATTAACCATAATTCAAACTATGCAGATAAAATTGCAACAAATCTCTTCTCCTCTCGTGAGAACATGGGCAACATAATGAAGCAAACCACCAACTTAACTTTTCCCTTGAGGGCTCAATCATTCTTAAAGACCAATTGCAGAAAGTAGGCATGCTTCAGACAGAAGAAAGACAACAATGCAATTTAACCTTTTTTCTTCAGTATTATCAAGGTCAATATGCATAAATGGCAGAGAAATAAACTAGAAACTCAATACAATCTTCACTCCACGGAAGATCATGACTCCAACATTTACACGAGTTATAAAAATCAAGGCAATATTTTCATCAGTATCATTAGTTCAAAGAAATAGTTTGGATATTGGCAAACAAGACAGCAATGATACTTGGTACAAGTTTCAACTTTCAAAAAGAATGAACCAGTACACCAAGATTGAACTTGCAGTCATATTAATAATAGCTGAAAGAAGATTTCATAAAGGTCTAACAATTCGAAACCAACAAAAAAAAAGAACATTTCCTGCTTTAGGTATGAAATAAATCATATTCCGAAACCAAACACTGCTCGTACCTTATTGAAAATAAGGTCCCTCCATCCTCTCTCAGTGTTCTCCACCACAGTTGCATTCCCATATCTGCATCACAAATCAACACAGAAACAAGATCAATAACCCTATTTTAACAATAACAAATTAGCCAATATAAAACTATAAAACAAATAAAAACCAACCTATCCTCCTCAGGAACATCTGAATGCGTGAGTTTGATTATAGTAACACCAGGCTCGGGCTCATCAAAAACAAGTCTTACCTGCAACAACAACCCATTAAAGATAGGCATCGTTAAACCCCCAATGTATTCCTAAATGCTTAATAAACAGTCAAAAGGGGAAACCACTGAGCAAAGATTTAAATAACAGAATAGTGGACTTTATATAGCGGTCTGGGATTCAAATTGTGGTTGCAGCACCACCACTACCGCAGTCGCGGACCCCTAATTAAATCTCTAAAGGCGGTAAAGGTGACTGCCGCGACCACTACTGTTGCAATTGCAATAAACACAACACAACCGAAAACACACCCCAACTGCAATCTAAATCCCATTGAGCATACCGTAGAATCAACACCATCCGGCCAACTCCCAAATCTCCATCTCTGAGCAATCAACTTCCCTTCTTGCAACTCCATGTTAACTCCAGTAACCGATCCATCAAAAATACTAAACTGGCCGCCAACTTCTTTGCTTATCCTAGCATTACTCTGAGTAAACCCTTTCCATCTATTCTCATCCATCAAAATCTCAAACATGTCTTTCGCTCTACAATTAAACTTCTCTGACATCGTAATCGTCTTAAACCCTTTCTTCCCTTCCTTCTTCGATTCCTTCTCCACCCCAACTTTCTCCTTAGACACCACCCCCAAACTACTGTTACTACTACTATTACTTTTGGGAGCCAATTCCTTAGCTTCCACTTCATCTTTAACGGGTCCACCTCTCGCCATAGCTTTAACATAATCCCTCACTTTCTCCAAAGCCAAAGGCTTCCCTTTAGCCAACATCGCTTCCTTCAACGTTTTACCGATGGGTCCTTCGTCTTTAACCGTAACCCTAACTTCCGGATCCTCGTCGGCGTTCTCATCGGCAATATACGGAATCTCAACATTACCTTCGGCTTTCAACAAGGTCTTGCCCTCCCCATCTTTGACTTCGCCTTCCCAAGATAAATTCAAACTGATCTCGTATCCGGGAATGATTTTACCCTTGCGAATATTGACATAAGCTTCGCCGTCGACCATATCGACGCTCTTGGTCTTGATGTAGAGGTTGCCTTCGCCGGTGAGGATGGGGAGATCGGAGAGCGATTTGGTGAAGAAAGTTTTGGACCAGGGGAGGCAATCGGTTTCCGCCCAGTGCCAGTTATGGACATTAGCACCGTCGGCTCTTTCCTCCACAATCCATCGCTTGTCGCCTTCGCCGTACTTCGCCATTGATGGGAACAAAAGAAGAGATTAAGATGAGGGTTTAGTTGTGATTTGAGAGATAATGAGATCCAAGAGATAAATTAAGAAGAAGAAGGTCTGCGTGGAAAGTTGTGGAGGTTGAAGTCTAGATGGATATTTTGGTGGTGGAAGGATCTGGAACAAGAATTCACCTACGTTACAATTAGGACGCTCATCTATTTTAGGGTTTCCTTTTTTTTTGAGCGAAATTTTTTACTTCAACCAAATTTATTTAGGATAAATTATATATTTAGTATCTAAATTATTAGTTTTGTTTGTTTTAATATCTAAACTTTTAATTTTTCAAATTATATTTAATGTTTCATTTTTGTTTCATTTTTGTATTCCAACGTTAAAAACTTTAATTTTTTATTTTAGTAATGTATAAAGTTTAACGTAAAGTTTTAAAAAAATTAAAAGTTTAGGTTATACCAAAATTGATAGTTTAGGTACAAATCACGTTAAGTTTTTAATGGCGGATACTAAAATGAAATGAAAACTAAACGTTAGGTATGATTTTAAAAAAAATGAACGTTTAGATACTAAAATGAATCAAAACTAATAGGTTAGATACTAAATACGTAATGGCATAATCATACATCTACTTTTACTGTGATCATTTTTATTTATTTTTTATTTTATTTTTGGAGTATTTTAATTTTTAATATATTAAATTTTAGTTAAAATATCTCGAAAGGAAATTGTTAGTTTAAACACATGTTATTATATGACATTTTTACATGTCTAATTTTTTACACAACACGTCTCAAGTCATTTAAAGTGATGATGTGATATATATCACATCACAAAAAATGATGGTAAAAGTCAATTAAGACAACAATTGCATTGTGTTACCAACAAGCTACCTTGGGTTGGTATTGCATAAAGGGTGATTCACATAAATATAATGAAAGTGGTGATATGATTGGAAAAATTAAAATTTAGAATGCTTTTAGAGTAAACTTGTTATAAAATATTTGTTCAAAGACCTATTTGATGTTTTAGTGACCAATTTATTACTTTTGAAATTTCAATTAGGAAAAAGAAAATTTACTCAAATATCAATGACTATTTGTGTAGTTTATTATTTTTTATTTTATATATTCTGTGTATCATAACATTAATCCAGTAAAGATTTATCATCAATTATCTTTCAATGACTATATCTTAATTAAATAAAAATAAAAATGATTAAATATTATATCTTTTAAATTCAAAAAAGAAAATTACACAAAACTTAAACGAAAATGATCAATTTTATTATTTACCCTCACAATAATAAACTTAAAACAATCATTTTGTGGAGAAATACACATTGGCCATTGATATTGGTTGCCTTGTATCATTCAAATTTTCAATTCAACATCTAATCTAAAACTCAAGAACCATCCACATATTTCTTTATTAAGGTAAAAAGAGATTATGTATCAATGCCATAACTTGACTTTGGACTTCATTTTATTTTTTTACCACCCATAACAATTATGCTCTTTTATATGCAAAAACCCAATAACCCTTCAGACTGGCACGACATAAGTCACCCGCCAACAACAGTGAGTCAAGGAGAAGACGTATGTCATTCGTCACCCACCGTCCGTCGTCCGCCGCCCACCGTCCGTCGTCCGCCGTCACATTTTGACCTCCGTTCGTCGCCATTTTTCATAGGGAAGATCATCTCGGCACTGCGATTCCAATCCGAGATTAGTTTTGCAAGAAAACCCTTCATTTGGCGCATATTTACAATTGAAGTTTGAGTATCTTCATTATACACAGTGACTTTTGAATACCTCTCTCTCGTCACCGCCAACACCAAGAGATTGACCGTGCACTGATCGGCGAATCTGGAAATTCCGGTCACCTAACGCCCAACATTTGATTTTCACGCTCCGCCACAAGTTTCTGTACCTTCATCACGCGCCGACGCGTGAGAGCATGTGTACGACCAGTTACTCCGTCGATTTCTTTCCCGTTTTTTCTGGGTATTTCCAATCATACCTTGTCGGAATTTTTGACGTACCAAGATAAAGTATCATGAGGTTACTGTTCACTAGTTAGGAAATTTCCAGAACACTGTTGTCGTATCTGGGTTTTCCCTGTCGGAATTTCTGCTTCGTCCAGCAACATAAACTAGTAACGAAGAGATTCCAAACGATGAAGGAAAAAATATGAGCGAAAATTCTTTTTTGGGTTCTCCCACTACTAGAGCCCCTTGGTCTTCTTTTGTCGATAATCTGAGTATAAGAGTTAGTAGGGGTGCTTTGTGGGAAATATTCAAGCTTCATGGTAAGGTTACTAAGGTGTTTATTCCTAGAGTCAATAGCAGAACGAAATATAGGGACTCAACATTCGCATTCGTTCACTTCGAGCGTCATGAAGATCTTATGAAAGCAGTGACAAATGTTGACAATCCGTTGATTGATGGGAGGAGAGTGGTGGTTAGGGTGGCGAAGTATCAGAAAACAACAATTGGGAAGAAATTGTATGGATTTGCTGAGGATGATATAAAGAGGAAGGCGGTGGTTCAAACTTTGAAATTTGATGGGAAAGATAAATTCTATAATAAGTTTCTTGATGGTAGTTCTTATCGGGATAAACTGATAGGAATTACGAGTTCGTTTGCGAGGGTGGCAAGTAGGCAAAAGAGGGGAGAAAAAGCTTTTAAGGTCCCCTTTTATGTTTACATCTCGGTAGAGGAGAGAAGTTGGTTAAAGAGGACGTTGACCAGAATAGATAAGCAGACATATGATGTGCAATTAATTCAGAGAGCCTTACACAGTGACAACATTAACACTACCATTGTCAGATGGGGTTACACCAGGAACTCTTGCTTAGTGTCCTTTCAGTCGGAGGAGGAAATGTCAAAAGCCTTGGAGGAAAAATCATTGGAGCTCATATACTGGTTCGACTGGTTAAAACCAGTCACATTGGAAAAAGGTGTTTCTTTGGCTTTCTGTGAAGTATTGTTAATCGGAGTTCCTTTAAATTGCTGGAATGAGGTCTTCTTCTTTAGTCTGGCCTCTAGGTGGGGGAGTTAATAGAGATTAAGAAGGAAACGTTGATGAAGCATGACTGCAGAGTAGCGAAGATGGTGATTCGGGTAGGAAGCCCATTTGATGTCCCGGAGACAATCTCCATTAACTCCAATGGAAGGTTGTATGTGATTAAAATTAAGTAGAATTGTCTACTGACGAACATTCAAATGTATGAAATGGTGAGAGCGATGGTGATTCTTCTGATGAATGGGTTGTAGATACACCGGAAAACCAGTGCGATGTTGATAGGATTTTAAGGGATGGGCAAACCCGGGAGGTTAGAGAGATATCCAAGGAAATATATGTTTCATCTAGTCAAAATTCTCATACATGTAGAGTGGCGGCTTCTGTTATGAGAATTATTGAGTCTGAGGTCCCGAGAAGGGACAATTCTGTGGAGTTTGAGAAAGACAAGATGGAGATATGCGCAGTGTCAACGACGCAAACTCTGTCAAGTATGAATAAAGAGTTTAATGAGCAGATTGGAAACACTAACAAAAACAATCAACAGGTTGGCTCAAGGACCCGCACATCGTGGTTTTTGAAGGAGGTTCAAATTATTGGGTTCTCTAAGCAGAAACGTGAATTACTTAGAGGGCCTAGATGATTCACATTTGAATATATTTGGTGATGATCTAGTTTCCCCATCAAGGGTTGGTTCCAGGGGAATGGGTTTTTTGCAGTCGCACATTAGAAAGAAATGCGAAAAATAGCAGGTCCAGGGGTAAATCTTTCAAGAGAGTATATAACAGAAGTAGAGGAAGGAATAATTCGAGAGAGGCTCAGAAGGACAAAGCGAAGTCTTTAGATGATTGTTCGGACGAGGTGGAAGAAATCCGTGCAAGTTGGGAAGTAAAAAAATTATTGGGTGTAACTTTTCGAGGAGGGAAGAAATCTTTCATGGATAAGGCGAAATATGTGGTTGGCAGTGGGTAGTTGGGGTTGGAATATGAAGGTCTGAGGGAATGTGGTATTTTAATTATGTATTTCTATGTCGGTTTTGAGTATGATATCGTGGAATGTTAGAGGATTGAGTAGGAGAGAAAAGTCTAGGACTGTGAGGAACATTATTGAAGGGAAGAAGCTGTCGCTAGTGTTTATTCAAGAAACGAAGTTGGAGAATATCAATCATTCCTTAAGGAGGTGGTTAGGTGGGAATTTTTTGAATCAGTTTATGGTTTTTCCACCGGTTGCATTAGCAGGAAGATTGATAACGCTTTGGGATGAAAATAAATTGGAGGTTGAGGCAAATCATGTGCAGGTGAGGTTAATTGTTGTTAAAGGTAATCTAAAAAAAATTTCTATCATGCTGGTTTATTAATGTGTATGGACCATCAGTTGATTCGGAGAGAGAATCATTCTTTGAGTCGTTGTTAGCTTTTGTGTTGCAATTGGAATGCCCTTTTTGTTTGGGAAGTGATTTTAATGCGTATTTAACTCAAGATAAAAAGTCGGGAAGAGGTCATAACAGGTTCTCTATGAGAATTTTTAATGAGTTTGTTCATAAGGCTAGCTTGAATGATCTTCCAATATCGAGGGGCAATTTCACTTGGAGTAATAATAGGGAAAGTCCAACCTTCGTCAGACTTGACTGATTTCTAGTTGATTTGAACTTCTTATCTGTAATTCCATATCTGAATCAGAGTTTGCTAATGGGATCATTATCGGACCACAATGCAGTTAGTTAAGAAAATAAAGGCACGAATTGGGGGCCGAAACCTTTTAGATTGTTCAATTACGTGCTAGAGGAGGAGGGTTTAAAGGAAAGAATGGTGGAGGAATTCCAGTGAGTAAGGTTGGGCAACAGAAGGAAAGAGATTTACATCATTCTTAAAAGCTCTAAAGTGGTATTGAATGAGTGATCTAAAGGCAGTTACAGTAAAATGCAAGGATCAATTTCGGAGCTGGAGAAATTTATTCATGTTTCAGAACTGAATATGCAACAAGGTTTTACTTCTGTCTCTATGGAATCTTTGGGTTTGGCTAGAAGGAATATATGGGAATTATACAAGAAAGAGGATGCGGTATGGTTGCAGAAATCACGAGTTAAGTAGAGTTTAGAGGGAGATCGTAACACAAGATTTTTTCACATGTGTGCAGCAAACAGAGGAAG